GAGATGGCTCATTTCCAGCAGGCAGGGGTGGCACTTCTGCTTCAGGAGGGGCCGGTAGTTGCACTTCGTCAAAAGAGACTGGATGCACCTCAGGAGGCTGCACTTCGGCCACAGCTGTCTGATCCTCAACCCCAGCGCCTTGTGCTTCTTCTTCTTCCTCCCCCACTGCCACCAACTCAGCCTCAAAGGATGGAGGAAAAATAGTGAGCCCCTTTGCATCACGCTCCCACCTCAGTGTGATCTGAGGTCGGAAGTCAGCACAGAGGCTCTCCCCATTTTCCTCCACCCCTTCTTCTTGTTCCCCAAAGGTGACTGTTGTCACGTCCACCTCTGGGTACTGGGTACTGGGCCTTCACCTTCTTTCTACAGTCGGTGAAGGCCACGATTGCGGTTGGCAGCCGGTAGAGTTTGAGGATGTTCTCGAAGATGCTGGAGTTGAGGAAGTTGCCAATGTGCTCCTCCATCCCGTTGTGAACCAGCAGGTTCACGTTCTTCTTCAGCTCCGCTGCTCCTTTCCTCATGTTGTCAATATATTTGTCCTGAGCCTCGAGCTTCTCCTCACAGATCTTCCTCTTACGTTCTTCGAGGATAAGCTTCGTGCTCAGGACATCATTCTCGTTCTGGAGCTCGGTCACTGAAGGGAGAACTTCATCCAGCCTCCTCTGCATCTCCCTCTTCTCTTTCTCTCATTCCCCCTTCTCCTTTTGCAGCTCATCTTTCTCCTTCTGCAACTGCTCGCACCACCTCTGCAAGCTGGCACGATCTCTCACGCTCTCTGCATACTCCTGTGCTAGAGCGTTTGTCCAGCTCGCACTCTACAATGCAATCAGAAGTCAGACATCAGATACAGAGGTCAAAAAACTTAAACATACAACCGGAGTGAATTCCAACTATTTCGCATACCTCTAGGGCGTGCCTCACGACAGTATACCCCACATGGCTAACCACCTCGTCCTTCGCCTGCATCCTATCCACCTCAAGAAGGGTAGAGTTGAGGAAGTGCTTCGCCCCAATCATGTTTGTCGCCTCAAACAAACTCTTTTGGTACGTGTGAGGAGGGATGCGCTCCTTGCCCCCACCAAGGCGTTGCACCTCGACCTCCTCCCTCTCCCTATCTTCAGGATTGATTTCTGGAGGAGAAGGCCGGGGCACGAACTCCACCACCTCGTTCCCCCTGGCATATGGTTCTGCCACCCTTCTCTTCTTCCTCTGGAGAGGGACCACCTCCTCACTTACATCCTCGCTACCCCCCATCACAGGCTCCGGCCTTGGTTGCACCTCCACAGCCCGGGCAGAAGTGCTGGACAGTTGCCCCCTCTTTGCCACCCCCTTCTCCGCCGCAGTTGAAGTCTTTGACTTCTTCCTTGGCTTCTTGGGGATGTGCAGGCCCCCAGCCGCATTAACGAACTCGTCCATCTCAGCTGCAAAACAAACGCCTAAATTAGAACACACCAGTTAAAATCTCATTAAAGTTGCACACTATAAACATACACAAACCTTCGCTCAAGGAGCTTGGCCCATAGAGCTTCGCAACCTCTATTGCCTTCGGACTAGTGAGGAACAAGATATCCACTACGTCTCCATCTTCTCTCACCAGCTTCTCCACCTCCTCCACCTCATCCTCATTCAACCTATAGTTGTTCTGCTTGGTTTTCTTTGCTTTCCAAGCAGGTAACTGTTCCACTTCGGCATCCCTCCTACTCCACTCGGTGTCATCCATAAAGAAGAATTTTTCTTTCCACCATTTGATGGATGACGGTCCAGTAGAGAATAAACTCCTATTCTCTTTACTGGATGACCGAGGGCCGAAGTAGTACCACCCCTTCTCCCCCTTACCCCCAACCTTAATTATAAAAAAATGTTTAAACATGTTTACTGTAGGGACTCCCACCCCCCGAACTCTGCAGTATACAAGAAAGCCTATTATTACCCTTATGGCATTTGGGGTTAATTGGGTTATTCCTATGCTGTAATCTAATTATAGCCCAACCAGTAATTCTGGAATGAAAAACCTAAGACCTGCTATCAGATAATGGACATATAGGGGCATCCAATGGTCTCGGTGTGCTGAGCATGCCCTCTCATTCACCCCGGCAAGCCTAATTAGGACATGGTGAGGGAGGTTGCAGTTGTCCACTAGGCCCCTAAGACTTTCTCTACTACCTAACTCGCTCACATACCCCCTCACCTCAGATACCATATCTAAATCTGGGTCATAACACCCATCTACCCTATTCCCCGCCTCCAAAATGTTGGAGGGAATCTCATCTTCTTCCTCTTCTACCTCTTCTACCACCCTCTGATCCCTCCTTTCCTCCACTGTCCTCTCCGAACTAGTTGGAGACGGACTGGTCTTCGAATCCATGCCACCATATTCCAAGGGCATTACCTCACTTCCCACTACACTCATAGCCTCTTCTGAAGACATCTCAATTTCTGCATACAGGGGGAGGCGGAACGAAGTCAAGACCCTTAACAATCCAAGCACACTCAATACATTCTCACCCCCAACCCTAATTTCCCTCAAAAAACCCAAAATCAACCACAGAAAGGGAGAAAGGAGAACAGCACTTCGACAAAACCAAAATAAAAAATTCATAAACATTACCTAGTTTTGGTCTTGAAAACTGTTGTTGAAGTCTTGATCAAAGCACAAACCGCGCGAAACCGCAAAAATTTAGTGGAAATTTTGCAAGAATTTGGAAGCAAAATAGCGAAGGTAAAAAACCCCTTTCTACAGGCGTCTAGCCTTTTATACTAAAGGCAAAATACGGCTGTGATTAACCCCATCTAACGGCTACAGTGACACCGGTTCGAATTCGAAGGTTAACCCCAAACAATGCCGTTTTGAACTCGGCGGTTTGTTTCTTAAATCTGCACGTTGGGCTGTTACAATTTCTTTTTTACAGCGGCATTTATTACACACGTCATTCAGAGGACAGCTGTCACGTCCCTGGCCGCCTCTTTGTCAGACTTCTCAGACGGGCCCATTTAAGCCAATTTTAACACTCTTGCTCATTTTTCTCCATTTTAAATTTTGCACAAGTATCCCACTTCGGCTCCGGCCACAGTGACCCCGTGTCACACATTTTACTTCGGCTCCGGCCACAGTGACTCAGTGTCACATGCTTTACTTCGACCCCAGCCACACTACTCTATTTATGCACTAACCCTATCACTTCCAACAACATCATTCAAAAATGAATGACTTCAGGGGGGGGAGTAGTGTAAGGGCAGGTCCGAGGTGCCCAACCTCGGACGTACGACAGTAATTCCTTTACAACCGGAATGAAGAGTAAATCCAGAGCTTCCTGCTCGGACCGTTGCACAACAGTTATGATGGACATCCTCACAACAGATCCCGAATATCTTGCTGGGCTTAATTTCCTAATCCCGAAATAACTGCCTGAAGATACATATCAAATCCTGAATATCTTGCTGGGCTTAATTTCCCGATCCCGGAATAACTGCCTGGAGATACACACCAGATCCCGAATGTCTTGCTTAGCATGCTGCGTGGGTTCTTCATTGGAACATATAAATACCCCTCAAGGGTCACGTCAAAAAGGTAATGAAAACCAACCCTAAGCTCCTTGTTTCTTCACTCTAAAGGTAGTCCCGATTATTGCTGACTTAAGCATCGGAGTGTCTACCCCGAGGATCCACCTCGGGGCTTTGCAGGTCAATCCAGAGTGCAGATACGGACTAAAGAAGGACTTCTGGCTTGGTGTAGTTACAGCACGGTTTCTTTTTTTATTAATATGAAGAATTTTGAGGAATAAGAT